AACCCCCTGAGTACCATGCTAGATGCTCCCCAAATATCAGTGGTTCTCAAAGAATGGCCCCTGGACCGGGAGCTTCCACATTGCTTGGAAACTGGTTAAAAATAAAATGCAAATGATGATGATGATGGTGATGTGACGATGACGCAAACTCTCTTGTCCCACACCAGACCGAATCAGAAACTCTGAGGGTAGGGTATCCACTCTGAATTTAACAGGTCCTGCAGGTGATTTTGATGTATGATCAAGTTGGAGAACCATTCTGCCATATATCATTTCACTCAATGATTGTTGAGAGGACCAGAATCCTGAAAGGTAAGTATTATTCTTGTTTTGCAAATGAAGAAGCTGAGATTTCAAAATGAAAGAGTAACTGACCAATATCACCCAGATGGTAAGTGGGGTTTGGCCTCCAATCCTCCATGGACACCCTCCCACCTCAGCTTCTCCTCAGTCCTGTGGCCTTCTGGCTCTTTCTGGAAAGCTCAGCCTAGCTGGGACTTTGCACTCAGTGTTCCCTCTACTGAGTGGTTGAAAACCTAGCATGGCCATTTGAATCTCCTGGGAAGCTTTAACATAAAACAAAACAAAACAAAACAAAACAAACAAAAAACACCAATAAGAAAACTATTATGAACCATTTCAAACAAATACAAAAGTAGAGAGAACAGAATAATCAACCTCTATAAGAAATGTGAGCTTTTCAACAGAATCACCCAATTCAGGACCCCAGATCAATTAAATATGAGACTCTAGGATGGGGCTTGGTGATGATCTTGGGCTTGAGCTTTCAGTAACAATCTCTGGTACGTTCCACTCCCAGATATTTACAAGATGTAATCTCTCACTTCATTTTTATCTCTACTCATGGAGGGGCTTCCCAAACTCCCTTATCTAAAACACATCACATCACCCCTAGCTCCTGTGCCATGCCATCTCTCTGTCCCTTTACCCCACTTCACTTTCTTCATGGCATTTTTCACCCAACATTTCATTATATACTAAGGGTTTATTCTCATCAGTGAATGCAGTTAATTTTTTTTAAAAAAAGAATCGCATTTATTGAAGCAGCAGCTCCATTGTCCCATTCTCTGCTTATCCCCAATGCCTGTGAGGGCAACAGCATGTAGCAGGCATTTAATGAGTATCTCCGGAATGGATAAATGGATGATACTGGTGCAGAGTAGAGATTTTAACTCAAGACTATCTACTTCGAAAACTCATGCTGGCAGCTTTGGCCTAGTTTTGCTTAGCCTCCAGAAAGAGAATATAGTACTTGCCTTGAAGCAAACTGTACATTTGGTTCTGAGTTTATCAAAGTAGTTACCAGTTACGAGGTCTTGTGTGGCTCTCTTAACAACTCTAAGTCTTATTTCTATCTGTAAAATAGGAAAATCAGCCTGTTCCTGCCTATTTTTCAGATTTTTTTAGAGACTTAATGAAACATACATATGACAGCATTTGTAAATAAGAAGACCATGTGAAGGCAAGTTATTATCATTACAACCTGGGGAGGAAAAAAGAAGAGAGGAAGGAAACAGAGTGGCCAAAGAAGGTAGAAAAAAGAAGTGGGGAAAAAAAAAGATGGTGTCAGACAAAATAGTTTCAAAGAAATTTTCTAAGTCTAAAATTCTGTGATTTAACAGACTAGAAAATTAAAAAGAAAATAAATAACAAAATATTGTATGTCAAAAGTTGCCATCTGTCCAAGATAATCCAGAATTATTTGTTTACTAAAAAAAGCTACTCTTATTTTACTTATAAAATGTAATTTAGTTGTTATATTGAAAACTTTTTCAAGCACTTTTGACACTTCAGTCTTTTCAAAACATGTAATGGTAACTTCGTTACAGTAACATTTAGATCATGAGCACAGTTCACTATAGACCAATCATAGATAGCTATACATGGTCCAGACACACAGGAGGTTATTCCAGAAGGAATAACCAGCCTGGTGGACTGAATAAAAGCCACTGTAAAGTCTGTGTACCCTGAGAAGGGAGGATGTCTGATTCTTCCTATCCTGTAAATTCCACGTGGTACCCCCTGATGAAGTAGCTAATATGTTTTGTATTCAAGTCATGTCGGACTGGCTTGATCATGATCAGGGTATTGAACCATTGAATATGCCCCTGATCCAAGTCAGGGTAAATACTTCGATGAAGAGGGCCCCTTTTGCATGGGCACTACATGTAACCTTACTGCTGCAAAATCGGGCAATCCAGGAAGACTTATCAGAATACCTGTCTCACTTTCTCCTTATAGGTCTTACACATGCCAAGAAACTAGAGTAATTAACAAGAAAATGGGGAAAGATAGAGGGGCGAATTGGGAATCCACTTCAGCAGAGTGGAAATCTTTAGATGGTTATTAAGAAATAGGATGAATGAAGCAGATATTGATGGGGCTGAAGCAAAGGTTTCAAAGCCGCATTACCTAGAGTTAGGTGGATCAATGACATCCCCAAAATTAAAGGATACAAACAAGTCCAAACTATTTATCCCATTTGGAGGAATTTTTAAAGTCAGAAGGCAAAGGCAGCAAGGAGAAACCTCACCTGGAATCTCCTGAGGTAACAGTCAGGTAGGTTACTCAATATGAAGATTGGCAGAGGGGCCATGTTCTTCTGCCAAGGAACCAAGGACATACGCATCTATGTAGGCGAAATGGAGTTGGGCGGGGCGGGGGGGCGGTGGAATGGCAGAAAATATAACAACATTCATCGTGGATTAAATAATACTGGCCCACAAGAGAGAAAGGGGCTTTAGAGGAGATGGGTGAGGGACTGGGCATAGTGTGGGACAAGCGGAATTCACTTTTGATAAACAGTAGTGTTCAGAAGAAAGAACTGACTAACTAGCGATTAGAAGGAATTCTTTTCCAGGAGGAAGGTAAAGGAAGGGAGTCAATCTGGAAAATAAAATGAGGCTTTAGCAAAGTGGGTCAGGCAGCAAATAAGGCTGGATAATGCTAGAGGTTTGCACCCTAGGAAAGGGCTTGCACTCTGACCCAATAGGGCCTCTTGACATTTTTATACGGATGGAGATCAAAGTGGCCAAGGGGCAATTATCCCCCATCCTAGCTGCTGAAGCTCAAGGGCACATCTATGGGAAACTTATGGAGCTCCCAACTTATGAAAGCTCTCTTATGGAGAACACATAATTCACATCAGTGTACCATGACTGTCCACATCCTAGAACAGGTTGAAATAAGATAAATAGTATGGTTGATAGGGATAGGAACTGTTTCAAAAACCACTCACATTCTCCCCACAAAAGGGAGGGGCCTTGCTACATAATAATATACATAGGAAATAATACACCATACAAAGCCCAGTCATTTTGTCTCAGCTCACAGGCAATGGACATCATGAGATAAAAAGCACAAAAGCAAAAAAGCTCAGGTCCATGGGATAGGGTTGGGGTGAAGTGGCCTGGAGGACTGAAGCTGTGTGGATGAATCATGGGAGAGAAAACTAGAAATGTGAGATAAAACCAAACTAGTTCAGTGCAGTCCCTCTGGCTTCAGTTGTCTCTTTTCAGAGAGGCAATGCAGGAGCATATGTATGGCATAGGCCTGGAGCTAGATAGCCGAGTTCTAATCCCAGTTTAAACCCTGAACAAGACCTTTCCATATATTCATCTCCATACAGGTAAAAACACGATAATCATAATACCTTGCATTAGGGTCGATGTGAGGCTTGAGTAAGTCAGGTACTTGCAAAGACTTAAATGGTGCCTGAAACATAAGAAACCTTGCAATGTATTAGCTATTACAATAGTTATTACTAATTCTGCAATCAACAGTGCCACTGAAATGGGACTGATAAGATCACAGCCTCTCAGGGGTTTGATTGGGTTGTAAAGTATAGGAAGGAAGACTGGGAAACTAGTTAAAAGATCACTGCAATTCTCGGTGAGTGGTGCCATCCAAAATGGCAAGCATATAGAAAACTAAAGGCAAGGGAAATGGGCCAGATGTCAGATATGTCTGAGCAATCGAACTGACAAAATGTGGCAAATGCCCGGATGTGACTGGTAAGGAAAATGGAAAAGTCAGAGAAAAGATAAATGGATTTTGTCTGAAAACCTGTCCATTTTTGCACCCAAGTAACTGCTGAAATGACACTAGGAAATGAACTATCTGCTCTAGACTGAAGTTCTTGTTCATTTTATCATACCCTGTACACACATTCAGAGCTCCTGCTTGGTCCTCTGCTAAGAAACATTCTATTTCACTTACCTTGCCTAAAGTTGACTTTTAACCTACTTGCTAGGAGCTACTATCACAAAGAGCAACAGATGACAGACCTCAAGTGCAATGTAATCCTTCTACCTGGATGGCTACCTGATTCCAAAGCTCCAGGAAT